GCCCTTATATCTGACAATGGCACTCAATTTGATAGCTTAACGTTCAAAGAATTCTATTTAGGACATGGGCTCTGCAATTATTATTCCTCCCTTGCTTACCCTCAATCAAATAAGCAAGCTGAAGCTTCAAATTAGGTCATCCTTGACAGTATCAAAAAGAAGCTAGAAGTAGCCAAATGAAAGTAGGTGGAATAACTTCTAATGGTGCTTTGGGCTTGCAAAGCAACCCCAAGGCATTCTACAGGAGAGATGTCTTTCTCCCTCTTATACGGTACATAAGCTGTTATTCCTTTTGAAGTAGGTCTACCAACTATAAGAACTAAGGTCTATGAGCAAGGTAACAATGATCAAACCCTTGAACATAACTTGGATCTTATCGAAGAAAGAAGGGACTGAGCAATGGTTCGGTTGGCAGCATATCAAGAGGAGTTAGCTAGATCCTATAACAAGAAGGTCAAAGAAAAGAGCTTCACACCTAGTGTTCTTCATAGGGTTCTCGCTCAGACTAAGGACCCTATGGATGACAAGTTAGGCCCTAAATGGGAAGGGCCTTATAGGGTCGCGGCACGAGTAGGGACATGAGCATATAGGTTGGAGGAGCTTGATGCCAAACTAGTTCACCGACCTTGGAATATCATCAATCTTAGAAAGTTTTACTTCTAGATAGTAATACATTATCATTACAATAAGTCTACAATGACATTCATTCTAGATCATCAATAAAGAGAAGTTTGTTCTTCACAGCTCTGAGCCCTCTTAAAGCCAACCTCTACAGTTGCATTCTTAAAAGCCAACCTCTACGATTGCACCTCTAAAAGCCAAACTTCTACGGTTGCACTCCTAAAGTCAACCTTCACGGTTGCATCCTTTAAGCCAACCTTCGTGATTGCATCCTTTACGCCAACCTCTATGGTTGCATCCCGTGCGCCAACCTCCACAGTTGCAATTCAAAGATCTAAGAGAAAAAAAAACTTATCTGTGCGGACCACTAATACACGGAACCATCCAAGGGGGTGTATAAGGACTTAACAACCTCACTATTACTATGCCTCCTTATCCTATGGATGTCAAGTGTAGCTGAGCAGGCACACAAAAAAGTAACTCTAAGAAAGCCCTGTTGATACCTCATTTAATTTACTCCATTAAAGGAGGTATGGAGGCAATTGTGGGACAGAGGTCACACCTCTAATGGGGCGTCGCCCAAACCACATTTTTTTTCTCTCTCTCATGTAGTTCCTCTTTTTGCATTACATGAGGAAATATGTTTATATATTTGTGTTGTGCGGCTGGCACCCATATATCACCACGCCCATTTGTGAGCAACTAAGGTGTCGCCCACACAACATACCAAAATTGACTCATGCTTTGACCATAGCACTCAGCTTTGCCTAGGCGTCGCCCAAGGCACCCTACCAACTTTTAGGCGTCGCCAGTAGTGCCTAGAGTACCGTCCAGCTAGCTGCCTCGCCTCCAGCATCACTTGCACCTAGTGCCACCACGACCCTCATTCTGGCGTTGCCTTTACCCGTTGCCCAGATTGGCCCGAGACCTAGAGTCCTAATAAAACTCGACTCTGAGTATTAAGTGAATATTGATAAACAACGCCTCCCAACGAGCATATCCTTTCCTACAAGCCAAGACTCAACGTCCTAGTATGATTTATCCTCGAATATCTAGGAGATTAATGATGAGGTCTAACTTATCACAACTTAGAGTTTGATTCTACTTGGAACATGACTTCCTATGTCATTATAAATAAAAGTTACGGGTGCCAGGTATGTAATTTAATCCGAGCCTATTCACCATACACTTTTTCTTCAACTAGCTTACTGACTTAAGCATTAGAGTCCTTTGATCGTCTCCAACTTTCGATTCAATTACCCGTTCTCTTATTTTGTAGGTTTACCAAGACTTTTCTGCCACCTTCTCAGTCTGTACGAGGTGGTTACTTTTAGCGTGGATCTATCCCCGCACAAAACCCATGAACATGAGTTTAAATTGTAAACCTAAAACAGACTGAGTTTGATATTTTGGACTAGAAATATAGTTATTAAACATAAATTTGATGAATTTTATAGACTTTTATTGCTAACCCATCTTTCAAATCTCCCCCTTATCCCACGTGCCCTACTATACGTATCCAAAAGTGTAATGAAGTGTTCCCTACGCATCTCCACCCTATCATCCCCCTTTTTGCCGCCACCAACCGCACGACCAATTAGCCGGAAATTTCAAATCCAAGAGGGAAACAGACCCTCATTACAAATTTCAAACTCTCTCGCTCTCTCTCGCTCTCTCTCTCTCTCTCTCTCTCTCTCTCTCGTGTATATTTACATCGCCTTTCGTATTCTCACTCTGATTTGTGCCTAAAACTTGTTTGGTAGAAGTCCTCAGGGAAGATACACCCAAATTCTTATTCGACTTGAAGATGTACGTGGTGAAGAGAGATAGGCGTCAAGAATCCGTCCACTTCGACAAGATCACGGCGAGACTGAAGAAGCTGAGTTATGGGCTCAGCGTTGAGCATTGCGATCCCGTGTTCGTGGCCCAGAAGGTTTGTGCTGGTGTCTACAAGGGCGTCACTACTAGTCAGCTCGATGAATTGGCCGCTGAGACCGCCGCTGCGATGACTGCTAATCATCCTGATTATGCTTGTGTGAGTGTTTTTCTCCCAATTCAGTGCTGATTTGCGCCTTTGAGTTTTGGTTTTTTTTTTATGAGCTCTTGTGACCTCTAACTGTCTTGAATTTGTTCCTGCTGACTGAACATTTGTTTGTTCATATCATTTTTTTTTTATTGATTTTGGTTCTGGGTTTGTGCCTCTTTTTTCAATTTTCTTCATTTTTTGATTATTTCTGTTTGTTTGTTGTTTTTGGTTTTGGGTTGGTAAGTATAGAAATGTGTGTGGGTAGATATTTTTACTATCCGGTTCATATTGCTGACAAAGTAAGCTCAGATTTATTATTGGAACCTAAGCTTTCGGTTTCATTTGTCATTTTGTATGCTTTGTTGCTTTGATGTGTTTTGAATCATGTGTTATTCTAAAGCTTGTTTGGTACAGTTGGCTGCAAAGATTGTTGTTTCAAATCTGCACAAGAATACTAAGAAATCATTTTCAGAGACGTAAGTTCTTTCAAATTGTTAGTTATTCTTAGGTTTTGTTTTTTCGTTGTAGGTTCTGTCATTGAAAATCTAGAAAATGGTCTTATCTGTGTGGTTGCTGCAGGGTCAAAGACATGCACAACCATGTCAGTGAGAGATCTGGACAGAAGGCACCTCTGATTGCTGATGACGTATATGAAATTATTATGGAGGTATTCTTTCCTTTTGATATTGCTTGTGTCTAACTTATCAGTTTAAGGTAACAAGGGAAGATCACTTTATATCCAAAATAATAGGTATTTTATACTGGCTATATATGATATTTTCTTTATATGTTGTTGATTTTGCAAAAAACACTCGTAAGACATAGCTTGTGCATGGGTGAATTGGTCTTGGCATTGGATCTTTTCTCATACTTTAATTAATCCAGATCACTTCTGTGAAATAGTAAATATATATGCTTTTATTTTGTTGCTGAAAAAAAAAATAAAAAAGCATTTACAGTGCATTAATAAGTTAGGATGCAAATTTTGTAATTCTGTGTACATTACAAGAACTCAATTTCAAAATTACCTGTATAAGAAAAACTCCAAAGAATAGTCGAGGGGTAGTGATATTCTTTCACTTTGAAAAGCGCTCATGCAGGAAAAAAGGTGCTCAAATCACTTCTTACCCACTCTGGTAGGATAATCTACCTGTTCAAGATGTACATGAAGGGTAGAATAGAGAGGTGCTGGAAAACGAAATAACCAAAAAACAACTGCAGAATTTTGTTTTGGATCAAAATCACTTGATGGGATCATTGGCATGGATGAGATCCTAGTTCCTTATAAGCTTGCATCATTGGTCTCATAGTTTTCTGTAACCACATGTCAATTGAATTGATACCTTTAATTGTACATCTAACTTTTCAATCATGCATTGGTTCTTTTACTTTTTTGTTTGTTTCAGAATGCTGCTCGATTGGACGGTGAGATTATTTATGATCGGGATTTTGACTATGATTACTTTGGTTTCAAAACCCTTGAGAGATCCTACCTTTTGAAGGTCCAAGGGAAGGTTGTGGAAAGGCCACAGCACATGTTGATGAGGGTTGCAGTTGGAATTCACAAAGTTGATATTGAATCTGTCATCAGGACATACCATTTGATGTCTCAACGATGGTTCACTCATGCCTCTCGTACTCTTTTCAATTCCGGAACTCCAAGGCCTCAAGTATGTAATGCTTTTACACTAAAATTTAACAAAACTTCTGCTAGTGGACTTTAAATATTTTAGTGAGATGCATGAACAACATCCTTTTTATTTAGGTTTACTTATAATTCTTGCACTCTGTTTCATCAATTAACATTTTCTGCTTTCCCTGATAGTCATGACTTACACACTGCTTTGACACTCACATAGTTCTGTTATTGCGAGTTGGCAGTTAAGTAGCTGTTTCCTGGTGTGCATGAAAGAGGATAGTATTGAAGGAATATGAGACTCTCAAGGAGTGTGCTGTTATCAGCAAATCAGCTGGAGGAATTGGTGTCTCTGTTCATAACATCTGTGCTACTGGCAGCTATATCCGTGGAACAAATGGGACATCCAATGGCATTGTTCCAATGCTGCGAGTGTTCAATGACACTGCCCGCTATGTTGATCAAGGGGGTGGCAAGAGGAAGGGTACGTCGCCTTGTCATCTGTTTTAATATGTTTAATGTTATGGTGGTACCGCGTTTTGAGGTATTGTTTTTGTGGCATGTAGGTGCTTTTGCTGTGTACCTAGAGCCATGGCATGCTGATATTTTTTAGTTTCTGGATCTAAGAAAAAACAATGGAAAGGTATAACTGATTCATTTAGTAGTCATTCATGCCATATAGTTTGGGGGATCCACATAATTCTCCATAGTGGCCCTATGAATTATACTCTGGGAATTGTTCAATACTCTAATTTGGATAATATTAGTTCTCTTTTCGCCATACCCAGGTTTTGTGTGTTAAAAATAATATCTAATAGTGAGAATTGCCATTCTTGTAGGAAGAGCTCTGTGCCCGGGATCTATTTTATGCTCTTTGGGTGCCTGACCTTTTTATGGAAAGGGTCCAAAGCAATGGGCAATGGTCCTTGTTTTGTCCAAATGAGACTCCAGGTTTGGCTGATTGTTGGGGTGAAGAATTTGGAAAATTGTACACTCAATATGAAAGACAGGTAAGCTGAAGCACTTTGTCATCCTTTATTCTGCATTCTGCAAATGCAAATTTTGTTGGATCTTAGTGGAAGTTGATCATAATAACGTCCTTTTTCTGAATTCAGGGCAAGGCAAAGAAAGTTGTCCAGGCACAGAATCTCTGGTTTGAAATTTTGAAGTCCCAGATAGAAACTGGGACCCCATACATGCTATTTAAGGTGATCTAGGGAGATTACTATGGAACTTCTGTTGTTTTTTTTTTTTTTCTCAGAAGTTGCTTGCAGTGAAGACTGTCTTTTCTTAACCTTATTTTCTTGTTGTCTTTCCAGGACACTTGCAATAGAAAGAGCAATCAGCAGAATCTGGGAACCATCAAGTGGTCAAATTTGTGTACTGAGATCATTGAGTATACAAGTCCAACAGAAACTGCTGTATGTAATCTGGCATCAATTGCTCTACCCCGATATGTTAGAGAAAAGGTGGGAATTTAAGATGTGATTGTTTGATAACATTGTTCTTTTCTTGGTTTTGCTTGTTTTCCATTTGAGATTGTATTATTTTTTTGGGTTGCAGGGGGTTCCAATGGAAGCACAACCTTCCAAGCTTGTTGGCAGCAGAGGTTCTAAGAATAGATATTTTGATTTTGACAAACTAGCAGAGGTTTGATTTGTTTTGTCTGTGCAATTGCCTTGTATACCTGTCCTGTAACATTTATTCATAGCTATATGTAAACTTAGTTATCCTTTGTAGTGTTGGTCACATAACTTTACTATATTTTGTTGGAACAGGTTACTGCCGTAGTTACTACAAATCTTAACAAAATAATTGATGTTAATTATTACCCGGTTGAAACTGCACAAAGGTCAAATTTACGACACAGACCTATTGGTATTGGGGTCCAAGGTCTTGCAGATACTTTTATATTGCTTGGCATGCCATTTGATTCACCAGAGGTAAAAGCTACTTTCACATGCCTTAGGTTTTTTGACAGAGTTCTATTGGATTGCTGGGTTTGCTTAGTTATTTGGTCTGCATTGCAGGCTCAGAAGCTGAACAAAGACATATTTGAGACCGTATACTACCATGCTCTAAAGGCTTCATCTGAGTTGGCTGCCAAAGAAGGCCCCTATGACACTTATATTGGAAGTCCTGTGAGCAAGGTATCATTTTAAAAGGAGCTGTCTGTCAGTGCGTGGGGGCAATGACTATTTTGAGACAAATGTCTTGTTGATTGGTTATTTACTCCATAGATCTATATATTCTTTACAAAGTGATAATGACCTTTTGAATGTCTTTTTTGTTTGGTAATTCACTGCATATCTCAGTCTATGTCCAAATATTTTACTATCTGCCTGTCATCGTTGCTGTCCTTAGAATTGTTAATTTTTGTAACTGTTAGATGTCTCCACTTAAGTGCTTTCACTTCTTGGCATAAGTTCTCATTTATTCCAAGTCAATTAGGAAATCCTTTAATAGTTTGGCATTCCTCAATATGAATAATACATACGTCATATAACATAATCAAATAAACAATTCATCTGATCTTCCTTGAAACATTTGTCATTCATGGGGATTTCATTAGTCGCAAATTAGTATATAGGCATGTTTGCTCAAGTGCCATCCTGCTCTGCAGGGGATTACTCAACCAGATATGTGGGGAGTAACACCTTCAAATCGGTGGGACTGGGATGCTGTTCGAGGAATGATAGCTAAGAATGGAGTAAGAAATTCACTTCTTGTGAAAGTTCTTGATGAGCAGAAATTCTTGATGAGCAGAAAGTTATTTACAAGTATGAATTTGGCATTTTTTGAACTGACTTCTTTTTCTTGATGTATATATGTATGTATATATGTAGTTTCTTCTGGCCCAACGCTAATATAAATTACTGAAATCAGGACTGTTTGGGAGATCAAGCAAAGGATGCTGGTTGATATGGCTGTTGATCGTGGATGCTACATAGACCAGAGTCAAAGCCTGAATATACATATGGACCAAACCAATTTTGGAAAGCTTACTTCCCTGCACTTCCATGCATGGTCCAGGGTATACAATCTCTTCAACTTGATGATACTTGGACCGTATCCGACTTCCCTGCTTAATGTGGGAGGATCTTTTATTCTCTCCTTTGTTCAGAGAAGGGCTCCATGATTTGATAGGACAGCATCATTTGGTTGTGGGTTTTTTTTGTTCTCTATACACAAATTTTCAAGACAGCCTCTACTATGACAAAAATGAAGAAACCCTTCCAGGTAGGAGCAAAAGTGATTTCAATGCTGATCAATGATTTTGACGACTCGAAAAAAAATTACTGTTAAACAATCTCCTTCCCAGGATAAAGATAAAAAGAAGGTTCTGGAGCAACTTCAGCTGTAAATAAGAAGAATGGCTGTTACATTGTGGTTCTCAATTAGATTCATTTTTCAATCTGATGCTGTACCCATGGGTTTGCTTTGTGATAGACTTGATTAATTACTGCTGTGATTGTTAATAACGTGCTTTGACAATCTTTTCTGATTTATTATTCTTGTTCTGGATACAAAAGGGTCTGAAAACTGGTATGTACTATCTAAGATCACGTGCTGCTGCTGATGCCATCAAGTTTACTGTTGATACAACCATGCTCAAGGTAATAAATGCCATCAATTACTGAAATCCTCATCTACTCAATTTTTTTGCTGCTATTGAAAAAAAACATTTCTTGATTGAAATGCAGGAAAAGATCAATATTGCAGATGACGGTGATGATAATACCAAAATGTCACAGATGGTAAGCTCTCTAACAAACCGTGAAGAGTGCATGGCTTGTGGAAGCTAGATATCCCTACAGATAATTGCAAAATGTACCACTTTGGTCAAGGTTTTTAACCCTGCTTGTGGAAGGGGCAAGTTTGGGATTCTTAACTGTGACATGCAATGCCTTCTTGTGATGCGGGTTAAAAAAGCGATATGGTCACTTGTTCAATTATGAAGCTGAACTGACTTCTAGGTTCTCTCTCTGTATAGGTGTAAGTATTATTAGTGGTTTCTACTGAATTTTTTTGGTACTTGTTTCATGGATCCTGATGTAACTCGTTTTTTAATAGTGGCGACAAATGAAAATTCGGTTGATTCCAGTAAATGCAGTATGAGTGATTGTTTCACAACTGGTTTTTTGTTAAGATGTGGATGTGATAAGATTGAACTTCATGCTAATCTCTGGAGCCAGAGGCACAAGCCTAATAATATAATGAATGGCAACTGTTGAGCTGTTAGAATTTGATCTTGTGAAAAGTTTGGTCTCGTTGAATGCAACCAACTTTATACTTATTCTGGAATTACACAACGTGATTTTGGGCTGCTTGATAGTAGTAAATGGACACATGTACAAATATAGCTGTTATGGAGCGTAAGGATCGCTTGGGAAAAGCACTAAGGAGTTACAACCAGCAGGGCCGAGTGTGCCCCTCAGGGTCTAGCATTAAAAGGGATATAACGACTCATTACTAGGGTCTTGAGTGAGTGTGATATGGTCATTAATGAGTGTCCGTATCTTTGAGAAATGTGAAGACAATAATTATTACAAGACATTAAGTGTCATAATGCCGACTGAATGTCCTCGGCAAACCTTGAGGGTGCTTATTCTCAAGTAGTGAATGTTTGGGTGTAGGTGTGAAGCACCGAGGAGAGGTATTTAATGACCGAGGTTTGGGCCATAAAGGCTCAGCTGACGTTGAGCAAGGGTTTACTTGCTCGAGGGGGTTAGTCTTCAAGAGATTTGACATGATAGCACTAAATATGCTTGGATATGAGTGCATGCCATTAAATTATGAGATGGGAGTCGAAGACCCCTCCATCATTGCAAATTTAGGAATAATACCCCTAAAAAAAATAGTATAAGGTATGTAATTCCAATCGAGAAAAGACCTTTTTTATGACTCTCATGCCAACTAACTTGAGTATTGGAGGGGATTAGTTGGGTACACACTCAGCCCCTTTTCCTAATCCTTCATTTGAGGTTTGGTGTTACTCAGGATCGTTCGATGTATCATTATCTCAACTCGTTGCATGAAATCACTCGTGCAATTTGGCGTCGTCTGTGGGAACTTGCAGACCAGTTTTCCCCGTGGTGATAGTGTCATGGTAAACACACGATCCCAAGGTGATCTGCGGGATAGCCTACGCGTGGGAAACGCGGAAGCTAGCTAGCTCCTAGTAGTCATTGAATCAGATTCCTTGAACCAGTCAGATGGAGCTTAGTGCGTCTCATAGCAGACCATATCGGTGGACCAGAGCCTTGGGGGACAAGGCGTCTTGGCTCGTGAAATCATCAAATTGATGGAGAAAAGGATGGGGAGCCGTTTGAAGTGGCTTGAGAAAGACAACGCCAACGTACATACTTGGCTCGATGGTTTCGAGCGGTCGGAGAATACCAACTGGCGGAGTAGCAGGCATGGAGACAAGAGTATCCATCGGAGTGACTCTTGAGACACAAGGCGGGATACCCCGAGGAGGAGCTTGCATGAACGCCTTGACGAGAGGTGCGGGCCTCGAAATTTTGAGGGCCGTGCCCTTGAGGAAAAATCCAAAGGGGGCAAGAAGCGCAGATTGGATCCGTCTCGTGGAGATCTTCCCCACAAACTCTCAGGAGGTACAAAGGCGGCAAAATCCCACACAAAATCAACTACGAAGGGGCCTAGAAGTAAGAGGCCGTGGGAAGACCTCCATTTGCGCTTGGATGCCAAGCGCCAAAGACCCCTCCAAAGGGATGATGACATCGAAGATGAGCAAATCGTCTCTCTATTTGTTTAGGCTATTAGGGAGATCGAGATGCCTAAGAAGTTCACCATCCCCTGTTTTAATGTTTATGATGGTAGGATAGACCCTGAGGGACATCTGCGACAGTATAAACAACTGATGTCCATGTATGACACTGACCAAATATTGTTGTGTCGAGTGTTCCCTATGAGCTTGGGAGACACTGCCATGAAATGGTACGAGAGTTTAACTCTTGAAAGTATTATGTCCTGGAAGCAGTTGACCGAGTTATTTATTGTCCGATTTATTACCAGCAGCAAAAGGCCAAAAGACATTGGCGCTCTACTAACGATCAAACAAAGGGGTGCAAAGACCTTTCGGCAGTGCGCAATCAAGTATTGGGAGGAGGTGAATGAAGTCAAGGCATGCTCGGAGGCCATGGCTGCAGCGACATTTCGGCTGGGGTTGTCTCGAGACACTGATCTGTATTGATCTTTGACTAAGCAAGCACCGATGGACATGAAGAACCTAATGTCTCGGATAAACAAGTATGTGAGGCTGGAGGAGGAGTTGGCTATGCTCAAGCCTAAGGCTCTTGCGTAGAGGAAACGGGACAAGGAACTTCCCGTTAGGAGGGGAGCACCAACTGTGACCCCAACCCGCATGTCTTTCCATAGGGTTAGCACAGTCTTTAAAGAACCCATTTACAAAATGTTCCACAAGATAAAGAAGGAGCCTTTTTTCAACTGGCCCTCGAAGATGGAAGGGGATCCGTCCTCTAGAGATTCGATGTCTCGATGTTCTTACCGTCAGGACGTTAAAGATCTCACCAAGGATTGTAGGGTGTACAAATCATTCCTTGAACAGTTGGCCTTAGAAGGTTATCTAGGTGAATTTATTGATGGTGTGGTCCCAAGGGGCTCATCTAGGGAAGGAGCAGGCATAACCCAAGAAGCGGCAACCGTGATTGAAGTAATACATGCTTGCACGGTGGACAAACCAACTTACAAGTCACTCCGAGCCAACCTCGAGAGGGTTTTGCAAGTCGTGAAGGAGGAGGAAAACAAATGTGGGGGGCAATCTAAAAGACCTCGGCTACATGCCGAGATAGTTCATTTTTTTGATGGCGACCTTGGTGGGCTAACCCTCTCACACGAAGACACCCTTCAGATTGAGAAGTTCGATGTCAAGAGGATCCTGGTGGACTCAAGAAGTTCCTCTGAGGTAATGTACGATAACCTCTTTCGTAAAATGGGTTTCACTCAGAAAGACTTGAAGCCAGTAAAAACCCCCCTTGTTGGATTCAACGGTTCGTATGCCCTCCCACTCAGAAAGGTTACGCTCATGGTCACCGCTGAAGTTGTCGTAGTCCTGCTCGAGTTCGTGGTGATAGACTCCTACTCCCCATACAATGCCATTATGGGTAGAATATGGTTGTATGCAATGAAGACAATGCATTCTTTCTATCATCAGAAGATAAAATTCCCCACGCTGAAGGGAGTCATGGAAATTCGCAGCGATCAAGCGCCATCAAATAGCTATTTTTATGCAGTAGTGAAGACCAGGGTTAACGCTGGACCCCAAGAACGTGGTCCTGCTGCAGTGTTAGCCAAATAACAATCCCAATCCTATAGGCCAGGTGTTAAAGATCCCATTATTTATTTAGCTAATTAGTCCACAGAGGCTCTATTCAAGGTCCTTCTAAATCCCGGGGATAAGGAGAGATTTTTCTTGATGGAAAAACCATTAGGTGGTACCGAGAAGTTTGATATGATAAATTTCCTTTGCCGGAATGCCAACGTCTTCGCTTGGACACTAGCCGAGATGACAAGGATAAGTCCCGAGGTGATATGTCATCGAATTCATGTATATCCAGCTTTTAAACTCGTGAAGCAAAAGGCTCGGAGGTCGGCGCCTCACCACACAGGCGATTAATGAAGGGTTGGATCGGTTGCTCGAGGCTGGATCAATCAGGGAGGTCTAATTCCCCGAATGCCTGTCAAACACGGTATGTGCAAAGAAGAAAGGTGGAAAGTGGCGAGTTTGAGTGGATATTACAGACTTGAACAAGGCATGCTCCAAAGATGAATACCCTTTGCCAAAGGTTGATCAGCTCGTTGATGTGACAGCGAGGCACAGGCGTATTAGTTTCACGGACGCCCAAGCAGGTTATCACCAGATCCCTTTGTATGAATCTGATCAAGAGAAAATGACATTCATCACATCTCGAGGGATATATTGTTACACGATGATGCCGTTCGGTTTGAAAAATGCTGCTGCCACTTATCAGCACTTGATGAATAAAACTTTTAAGCAACAACATGATGGAAGTATATATTGATGATCTGTTGGTAAAGAGCAAGGTGACACTGATCATCTTTGGGACCTCGGGGTGATGAGCACAAAACATTGCATATTTATTGGCCTCATTTCATACTTTTTAACTTAAATTTGCATATTAATTATTAGAATTAGTTTAATTTAGGAATAATGTAAAAATTTTGATGTTGCAGGTAATTATAGCATAAATTATGACTTTTAGAGCTTTACAACTAAGTGTGAATGTGTGGTGAAGAGATGGACACATTGAATGAGGATAGGGAGGCTTGGAAGGTGAAGAAACCAAGAAAAATGCAATTTGGATGAAAATCTTCCGGAAGGTTTAGCCCACTGGTTTCCCAAGGTCTTTACACAATACCGTTATTTTTCCCATGTTTGACCATGATCCACTTCAAATCTGAAAACGTGCAACACCTGACAGTTGTAGATCTGGATATCTTCTGTATTGTGGAAATATTTCAGCTTAATCTGACGGTTGGATCAAAAGTTATGGCAATTTTACTAAAAGTGGTCCTAAGCTGTCATCTTCTGAAAGACCTTCCGAAAGGTTTTGCGCAGAATGCCTGCAACTCATGCTCCACTTTCTTAGGGATCCTACCATTGATTCTCCCACTTATTCCCTAACATCCCTTATATATTTACATGTCCCCTACACCCTAGTTGAAGACTTGGGAGGCCATTGCATTAATGAGGATGGGAAAGAAGGGGGCTGCCAGAGGCGAGTTGTAGGCTAAGCTTTTCCTAGCCTGTCCAAGCCTTCAAATCACCTCCCATTGATGGGAGGTCTGCACGCACAGGCTAGGGGAGCCTCATGAATGAAAATGCATCTCTCCTTCACCATATATTCAGCATTCCACAAGCTTGGGAGTGGCTACCTAAGCTTAGAAAATCCGATGAAGAAGATGATGAATAATGTAATAGAAATTTATATTTTTGCATTTTCTTCTCCATTTCTATTGTAGTAAGCTTTAATACTTTTGTAATCTTTAATCCTTGCACCTTAATGTCATTTATTTTCAAGTTCATTTCAAGTTTAGTCTTTCATTTTACATTT